CTATTTTTGAAAATAAGCTCATTTTCCAACTCCCCTAGAGTTAAACAGTTGAGTTTTACCGTTTTCGAATCCATTCAGCCGATCTCCGGGTCTGGCGGTAGCACTTTTAGCTGTAGCTTAGCATAGATCATTGAATCTGATTAGACCGTTAGCATCTCGCTCAAAAATGACCAGAGAGTTTCTATATTTTTCCTATTTAAAACATACCATGGGTGCAGCAGGCGCAATGATATTACGCAGCGCCTGAAAATAGTCCCCAGCACGCTCCCTGTGCAAGCAGGTGGTCACGTTGGTTATGTTGACGGAAGTTAGTCTATTTTCGAAAACAGTAAAACTCAACTGTTTAACTCTAGGGGAGTTGGAAAATGAGGCTATTTTCAAAAATAGTGGAGTGTTCTTTTAAAGATATTAACATTAATAAGGTGAGTAAAAGAGTCTTATGTTTATTTGACGGTGATTTCACATTTCTTGTTTGTATGAAGGCTAAATACAAATAAAGTTTGAACATTTAATTTATTTGTGCTATTTTTATTTCTAAAATAATATATAGTGTTATAGGAGGAGGTTTCATTGACTTGGCAAATTAATTTTTTTTTTAGAAGTTTGCCTTTATTAAAGATGAGAGAGACTTCTGCTCTGCATAAGACCTTGGACCTCTGTCGGCTCTTGTATGTCTTCAAAATGCCAACAGCACAAGTTTATATAACACTGTGTCTTCAGATGATCTCATATTTTTGCTCACTTCTCCTCACATGCTTATAGTCAGATCATTTGGTTTTTGATATGGTGACAAGTGTTTGTTTGTAATCTTTTCAGGCAGATCAGTTCTCTGGCTTCCATATTAGATCTGTCCTGTGTGTCCCTATCTGGAATAGTAACCACCAAATCATAGGTAAGTTATCCAGTTAATTGCTAATGTTTTACTACATATAGCATGTGCTGATGTTCCCTGCTCTGCTCTGTTGTACTATGTTGTGTGCTAGAGTTCAGTGATGTGTGTGAGTAAATGGAGGACAAACATGTTTTTACATGATAATGTCTGTTTAAATGTATATCTGGGTGTCATATCAGTGTGTGTGTGTGTATGTGGGAGGACTCTATCAGGGAACGAAAGTCATTATGAGTATAAGCAGCCAGTAGAAGTAGAAGTCAAGGATGTCTTCATTCAAAAGACTCTCCCCCTCTTGCTCACTTTCTTCATCACTGCCGTAGTTTCAGAACCAGTTTTCCTTTCTCTCAAATCATGCATATAGCCAGTGTGGAAACATTTCAGCACTATGAGAAGAGAGAAAGATTTAGTGCAGAAACCTAAACTTTTTTGTGCAGAAATCACACTGTCCAGTTATATTTTATATCCATATATATATATATATATATATATATATATATATATACATATAGTAGTATTTTTTTAATCCTTAGGTATGTTCGTAAATCACACTCTCTAGATATATTTTATATATATATATATATATATATATATATATATATATATATATACATATAGTAGTATTTTTTTAATCCTTAGGTATGTTCGTACTGTTTTTGTAGTATGCATGGATGAGACACCCGGATCATCTACTATAAACATGTGCACTACACAACCAAAGTATACATGAAATAATGTAGGATTTTGTTACGAATTAGATTAAGCCTCTACTCAAAGATAAATAAAGTTCCCTTTCAGTCGGTCACTCTCGACGTCACATTGGATGGACAAGACAAGATTCCTGAACGCCCCCGTGTCCCAGACCGGCCTGTTCGGCGACACGGTGGAGAACTTCGCCCAGCAGTTCTCTGCTGCCCAAAAGCAGACTGAGGCCATCAGGTACATCCTGCCCCGGCGTGCAGCTGCTGCCTCCAACCAGCCGCCGGTGGCAGCGCCTCAGCCCGCTCGTCGCCGAGGGTCCCCCCTCCCGCGCAGCGTCCGCAGCAGCCTCCAGCAAAACTGCGCCTAGGAGCCGGCCGCAGGGCAGCCGCCCCACCCGTCCAGGCCCCCGCCAGACCTGGTGGTAAGCGAAAGAGCAAGAGGCCCTGAGACGGGCTACCCAGAGATGGAGCGAGTTGCTCTTCGGGAGATGGTGAACGCACCACTCCCTCCCCTGGAGGAGGGCCGGGTGGAGAATCTTTTGTTTCCTTTTTTTCCGCCACTGACCTCGCGGTCAGTGGTAACCAAATACTCGACAAAAGAGTAATTTCTACTAACTCTGGGTCCCCTGAGGGGACAAGGGGTTGTGAACGATCCAGAGCCGCATCACACTCACCCTCCTCTCTCGCCAGTGAGCAGGAGTGGACGGATTGGGAGGACGAACCAACGGACTACCCACGCACCCTCTGCTCAAATGCAGGTCAGTGTTACACACACCCAGACCCCGCCTCAGACCAGCACCGAGATGCCCGGGCCCGGCCCCTGTGTTCTTCCGCTCAACCGACAAGGTGGTCTGCGCTCCCGTCGCTTGTCGCAACTCGCCCGCCACCTCCTCCTTTGGAGTCGGAAGCATCTGAGGTTGCTTCGTGCTGTTCACATTCCACGAGCTGTCCCGAGCTGCACTCCCGGGAGAGTGGCGACTCCATCGCCAGATGGTCCAGCTGGTTTGGAGACGTTTCGGAGCCACTCAGGTAGACCTGTTTGCCTCTCCAGAAACCTCTCACTGCCAGTTGTTCTTCTCCCTGGCCGAGGGAACACTCGGCACGGACGCACTGGCACACAGCTGGCTGTGGGGCCTTCACAAGTATGTGTTTCCCCCAGTGAGCCTTCTTGCACTGTTGCTGTGCAAGGTCAGGGAGGACGAGGAGCAGGTCCTGTTGGTGGCACCCTACTGGCCTACCCGGACCTGGTTCCCGGAACTAATGCTCCTCGCGACAGCCCCTCCTTGGCCGATTCCTCTGAGGAAGGATTTACTGACTCCGAGACGAGACACCCTTTGGCACCCACGTCCAGACCTTTGGAAACTTCATGTCTGGGACGCGGAGGTTCTGAGTGACCTACCCCAAGAGGTAGTCGACACCATCACTTCGGCGAGAGTACCGTCTACGAGACACGCCTACGCTTTGAAGTGGAACCTGTTCGTTGAGTGGTGTTCTTCTCGCCGAGAAGACCCCCGAAGATGCCCGATCGGAGTTGCGCTGTCCTTTTTGCAGCAAGGGTTAGAGCGAAGGCTGTCTCCCTCCATCCTTAAAGTTTATGTTGCTGCTAACCACGACCCCATAGAAGGGAGGTCGCTGGGGAAGCATGACCTGGTCGTCAGGTTCCTTAAGGGGGCGAGAAAGTTAAACCCTCCACGGCCCCACTCTATACCCTCTTGGGACCTCACGGCACTACAACAGGGCCCATTTGAGCCTTTGCAGACGGTTGAGCTGAAG